TTTTTTTTTTTTTTTTTTTTTTTTTTTTGTCTTTTTGAGACAGGGTCTCACGAAAAAAAATAAAAGGAAAAAAAGAATGTGGTGGCTCATGCCTTCAGTCCCAGCACTCGGGAGGCAGAGGCAGGCAGGTCTCTGTGAGTTCAAGACCATCCTGGTCTACATAGTGAGTTCAGGTCAGCTGGGACTACAGGGAGACCCTGTCTCAAAAAGACAAAAAAGAGAGAGACAGGGTCTCCCTGTGTAGCCCCTTCTGTCCTGGAACTCACTGTGTAAACCAGGCTGGCCTTAAACCAGAGATCATCCTGCCTCTGCCTTCCAGTGCTGGGATTAAAGGCATGCGCCACCATAGCCTGCCTGGTGGTAGATTCTTTTGGGAAGGTAGTAACTAACCAATTGGTATTCAATATGGTATTGAAGTGGAAGGTTTTTATGTCATTTTGTCCCCAGTTATTTTTATATTTTTTTTATTTGAGTACTAGGGATTGAGCTTGGCCTTGTGCATCTCTTTAGACCTTCAATTTTGGATCAGGGAAAAGGTAAGACTACCAAGAGTGATCAATGGCATGTAAGCCATCAGCAAGGTGACTGATTGCACCCTTAGCACTGAATATATTTGACAGTCAGCATTTTCTTTTAGGGTGTGAAAATGCAGAGCAATAAAACCTTTAACTTGGAGAAGCAGAATCATACTCCAAGAAAGCATCAGCATCACCACCAGCAGCACCACCAGCAGCAGCCACCACCACCACCAATACCTGCAAATGGGCAACAGGCCAGCAGCCAAAGTGAGTAGATGCTAAGTGATGGGTTAGAAATAGGTTCCCTATTGGGAGTCGTTTCGTGATTTTTAGATGAGTCTTTGAATATTATAAATAAATAGGCCTTTTTGGCCCATTTTTGTTCTTTTTCCTATTTACTTTTTTTGGAGGGGATTAAAGGTGGGTGTGCAAGTTAAGAATGCTCAGGCTGCATGCCTGCTATTTACTTCTTCATTGTTACAGAAAATGACTGAAAGGAACAGACTTAGAACAGCTACTCGGCCAGTTGGCACATACTACTGCTAAACAGATGTCTGTATGTAGCTTGGTTCTTAGAGATAGCCATCAGAGCTGTGCACAAACCCTATGATCTCAGGACTGGCATGCTGGGGCTACAGGGAGACCCTGTCTCAAAAAAAAAATGAAAATCTGATTGCTTAAGACATGTAGGGCTCTTTTTTTTGAGACAGGGTCTCACTGTGTAGCGCTAGCTCATCTGGAACTTGCTGTGTATACCAGGCTGGCCTTGTACTCATAGAGATTGGGACCATCTGCCTCTGTACTGAGTGCTAGAATTAAAGGCAAGCACCACCACAGCCAGTTTGCATTGTTTCTTTTTAGCCTGTAGTTGTTACATTGTCTCTGGCTTAGCCACCTTGGTTTCTGGACCATTTTAGGGCTGTCTCTGAGTCTGCATAGTGCTTTGTAAGATACAGTTTACTGATGAATTGGATACATTATGTTGAGAAATAGTGTTTTCTCTATAGCAATTTCAGAAACATCATTTTTCATTTATGGCATTTTGAGGTTGTAACTAATTCTTTGCCGGGTCTTTTGGGTGACAATGTGTCTTCTCTCAGATGAAGGCTTGACTATTGACCTGAAGAATTTTAGGAAACCAGGAGAGAAGACCTTTACTCAACGTAGTCGTCTCTTTGTGGGCAATCTTCCCCCTGACATCACTGAGGAGGAAATGAGGAAACTTTTTGAGAAATATGGAAAAGCAGGCGAAGTTTTCATTCATAAGGATAAAGGCTTTGGCTTTATCCGCTTGGTGAGCAACTGGGAGCTTTGGGGCATATGCTTTGAAAGATGGGGAAGCCTGGGGAATGATGGATATGGAAAATGTAGCAGTGGAAATAATACTGATTTTATGTTTATATAAAACAAAATTAGGTTATTTTTTCCCTGAGGTTGTAAGGACATTATAAGTTTATTTGCCTAGAATACAGGACGAAAACATGTCTTTTGGGACTTTTGGTTTCCTTTGAAGCAGTATCTCATTACATAACCCAGGGTGGCCTCAAACTTGCAAACTTACTGCCTTTACCTCCCAAGTGCAGGCATTCACATTTAATGGGAGTGAGGATAAAGTTTATTTAGTGATTATCAAGGCTTACATATAATTTGTCTCAAAAGTTGTTACACACATACTGTTTTACTGCTTCTTCAAAACCATGAGGGGATAAGTTGTTTTCAGTTGTTTTTTTTTAACTATGTGTATGAGTGTTTTTCCTGAATATACATATGTAAAAGTGTACCATGTGCATACATTGCCTGTAGAAGTCAAGAGGGTGTTGGATCCCCTGGGATTGGAGTTACAGATGGTTAGCCGTCGGGTGGATGCTGGAAACCAAACGTGGGTTGTCCTCTGCAAGAACAGCCAGTGCTCTTAATTGCTAAGCCATCTCTCCAGCCCCTAGTTTTCGTATTTTTAGGACTGTTAGAGATTTGATCCATAATGCCATTAAAAAGACTTGGTTACTTGAGGCTAGGTATGAAAACCCCTTTAGAAATTTAGTTGGGAGTGTGGTCTACATCATAGACATGTGCTTCTGTACCTGGCTCACTGCTACTCATCATTCTCATTCTCATTCTCTCTCTCTCTCTCTCTCTCTCTCTCTCTCTCTCTCTCTCTCTCTGATATGGTATTAGAGATTAAACTTAGGACCTTGCTCATGCCAGGCAAGCACTCTACCACTGAGCTGTGTCACCCAGCTCTTCCAGCTTCTTCTACTGCTTCAAGCTTCCCTTAGTAGCTGGTATTATAGGCCTGTTGGCTTCTGTGTTTATGTGTTTGGTGCCAAGGTTTTGTGGGGGCGGGATATTTTGTTGATGGCTGCTGCTTAGTTGGTCCTTGTTTAAATTCTTCTAATTTTCCTCTTTTTCCTAGGAAACACGAACCCTAGCGGAAATTGCCAAAGTGGAGTTGGACAATATGCCACTCCGTGGAAAACAGCTGCGTGTGCGCTTTGCCTGCCACAGCGCATCCCTTACAGTTCGCAACCTTCCTCAGTACGTGTCCAACGAACTGTTGGAAGAAGCCTTTTCTGTGTTTGGCCAGGTGGAAAGGGCCGTAGTCATTGTGGATGACCGAGGAAGGCCCTCAGGAAAAGGCATTGTTGAGTTCTCAGGGAAGCCAGCTGCTCGGAAAGCTCTAGACAGGTGCAGTGAAGGCTCCTTTTTGCTAACCACGTAAGTAGAGTTTTCAGACATAGATTTGGGGCTCCTAATTTTTTCTTTGGTTTCGAGACCTAACATCTAGTGACCATGTTCCTATTTTCATGTAAAATCTTGATATTAACTCAGCTTTCTGATACAGTTTTCAGTATAATTAAAAACTTACGTGTGTCCTCCAGTGTGCCTTGGCATACATATGGGAGTCAGGACAACTCTGGGAAGATGGTTCTCTGCTTCCACCTTTACAGGGGTCCAGGGATCAAGTTCAGATTGCTGGGTTTCCATCAACAAGTACCTTTACCTGCTGAGCCATCTCACCAGGTCTATAATCTTTTTGTTGTTGTTTTTTGGGACATGGTCTCTCTGTAGCCCCAGCTGACTTGGAACTCATTATGTGGACCAGGCTGGCCTCCCATCTCATAGAGCTCCCCCTGCCTTTGCCTCCTGAGTGCTGGGATTAAAGATGTATGCCGTCGTGCCCAGCTCTGTGTATGCCTGTGTCTGTATGTGTGTGGGTGCCCACCATGGAGGCCAGAAGGGGCGTCAGATCCCTTGGAGTTGAGTTACAGGGGTTTTTGAGCTATCCAATGTTGGTGCTGGGATCTGTGGGTGCCCACCGTGGAGGCCAGAAAGGGCGTCAGATCCCTTGGAGTTGAGTTAAAGGGTTTTTTGAGCTATCCAGTGTTGGTGCTGGGGTCTGAACTCTGGCCCTCTGATAGAGCAGTAAAGTTTTAATATTCTGAAAAGTTGTTTTAGTGCGTGCAGTGTCTGAGCATTTCCCTCATTTCCTGGGTTCTATAGACGTCAAGTATTTAGGCAATAGTGAAGTGTACTACACCTACCCAGTTTTAATTTTTTTAAAAAATAGGTTTTAGGGCTGGAGAGATAGCTCAGGGATTAAGAACACTAGTTGTTCTTGCAGAAGACCCAGGTTCGAATCCCAGCACCCACTTGGCAGTTAACAACTCTCTGTAACTCTGGGGATCCAACAGCCTCTTCTGTCCTCTGTGGGCATTGCATCACATGGGTACACTTAACATACATGCAGGCAATATACTCGTACACATAAATAAAATCTTTTTAAAAATATTTTGTTTTTATTTTATGTGTATGAGTGTATTGCCTGCGTGTGTGTAAGTACACCCGTGTCATGCAATGCTCTCGGGGTCAGAAGAGGGTGTCTGGTCCCCTGGAACTGGAGTTAGGACGGTTGTTAGCTGCCATGTGTGTGTTGGGAATCGAACCCGGGTCTTCTGCAAGATCTTTCAGTGCTCTTAACCGCTGAGCTGTCTCTCCAGCCCCCAGTTTTAATATTAAATTTTTTCATTTATTTTGTTTTATTTGTATGAGTGTTTTTGCCTCTCTGTTTGTGAGGATACCCATCTCATGCACTGCCTCAGCTAAAAGAGGGCCCCTGGAACTAGAGTTATAAACAGTTGTTAGCTGCCATGTGGGTGTCGGGAACAGAACCTGGATGGATCCTCTGTAAGAGCAACCAGTATTCTTAACTGCTGAGCCATCTCTCCAGCCCCTAGGAAACTATTTGGAGTTTTGAAGCCTGGATCCATCTGTATTAGTAACATCAAATTATCCATAATGCCATTTAAAAAGACTTGATTGGGGGGGAGGGGACTATGGGAGGGTACCAGTGGGGATGGGGGTATAAAGATGATTAAGATTGTTTGGGATGTTCTGTATGAAATACACAAAAAAGTCGATTGAAAATTAAAAAGATTTGATTACTTGGCGTTAAGTAAAGACCCCTTCAGAAAATTAGTCAAGTGTGGTAATTTATATCTGTAATCCTAATACTTCTGAGGCAGGAGGATAACATAAGCATGTTTGAGAGCAGCCTGGGCTAGGCTATGGTATGAGCAAAGTCTGTCTTTGTTCCCCACCAAAAGTGTTTTAATTATCCAGTTTTGAATCTTTGACTTCTCCCATTGTGTAGGGAGGTGTAGGGAGTATGCCTATTAGGATATGGTGAGACTTTATTAACACTTTGCTCCCTTTTTTCACCCAGATTTCCTCGGCCTGTTACTGTGGAGCCCATGGACCAGTTAGATGATGAAGAGGGACTTCCAGAGAAGCTGGTTATAAAAAACCAGCAATTTCATAAGTACGTAGTCTTGATATATTGATTTACGTATTCCCCTTGGGTAGGTGTGTGTATGTTTTGTTGAGACAGGGCCTCACTATGTATTCCTGGCTGGCATGGAACTTGGTATGTAGACCTGACTGGCCTTGATCTCACAGAGATCTGCCTGCCTCTGCCTTCCAGAGTGATGGGATTAAAGGTGTGTACCATCACCATACCTAGCCTCCCTTGAGGCTTTTGTGTATAGTGCTGGGGACTGAACCCACGGCTTTATATGTTTAGCAGACACTATGCCAGTGAGCCACACACCCATCCCCTAGGTATTTCCTGTTATTGAACTTAAAGGGTAAAGGGATGTTCAAAAGAGACAGATCTTTCTTTGCTGTGTGTTCACTGGCATTCACTTGACCCTTGGAAAGAATGTGACACTTAGGAATCTTGGATAAAGTAATCTCAGAACATTGTCTTTAGGGAACGAGAGCAGCCACCCAGATTTGCACAACCTGGCTCCTTTGAGTATGAGTACGCCATGCGCTGGAAGGCACTCATTGAGATGGAGAAGCAGCAGCAGGACCAAGTGGATCGAAACATCAAGGAGGCTCGTGAAAAGCTGGAGATGGAGATGGAGGCAGCTCGCCATGAGCATCAGGTCATGCTAATGAGGCAGGGTAAGTATAGGCATATAAGTCTTAAAAGTAGAATAAGTATCATGGCTTTTACTGTCCCTCAATAGAAAGACTTAAATCTCTGCTTTTATTCTCTGAAATGATTGTTTATCCTAGTAAGGAAATGGGTTTGGAGATTTGGTACAGCATACTGAATTCTATGAAGAAGGAAATGATAACGTTTGGTTTCATTTGGAGGATCTGGAATACTTTGTATGGTCACTCTGGGATTATATATCTTTGCTTTCTAGATATTTATGAAAAGTAATTGAGCATATGTAATGTGAATCAAAAGTAATCTCAATGTGCTTCTAGATTTGATGAGGCGCCAAGAAGAACTTCGGAGAATGGAAGAACTGCACAACCAAGAGGTTCAAAAACGAAAGCAGCTAGAGCTCAGGTAACGCCCCCCCCCTTTTAAAAATTACATTTATTTATGTATTTGTGTGGTGTGTGGCCACATGCCACAAGGGACATCTGGAGGCCAGAGGACAACTTGGGTATTCTCTTCACCATGTGGATCCTAGGGATTGAGTTTGGTTATCAGGCTTGGTGGCAAGTGGGGAGCCATCTCACCAGCCTTGTAACTCCTTTTTTTGAACCTCTTTTTTTTTTTGACAACTCTGAAGAGTATTGCTTCCTATTTCCTACCAGCATGATCCCTAATAAATTGTAAATGCTGGCAAGTATTTCTTGGCTCCTTTTCGGGGTCTCTTTTGGATAGGTGTTTTAGCTGCCTAGGAATGGCCTAGGGCTGCACTAAAGAGAAAGAACTGAGTGCTGGTCTCTTGATTTCTTTGGGAGTTGCCCTGGTTCTTGGGGAGATGCAGTAGTTTTCAGTAGGCTCATCTTGCCTTGGGTCTCCTATTCAGATGGTTTCCTTATGTTCTAGAATGACTTTACCTTAAAATTCCTTGGTTGGGGGCTGGAGAGATGGTTCAGCAGTTAAGAGCACTGACTGCTCTTGCAGAGGACCCAGATTCAATTTCCAGCACCCACATGGCAGCTACAAACCGTCCTTAACTCCAGTTCGAATCTGAAGCCCTCTTCTGACCTCCGAAGCATTGCACGACAAGGGTGCACTCAACATACATGCAGGCAGTACGCTCATACACATAAAAAATTTTAAAAAGTAATAAAATAAAAAAAAATTCCTTGGTTGACTCTAGGCAGGAGGAGGAGCGCAGGCGCCGTGAAGAAGAAATGCGGCGGCAACAAGAAGAGATGATGCGGCGACAGCAGGAGGGATTCAAAGGAACCTTCCCTGATGCGGTATATCTCCCATTTGCCCATGATGGACCAGGCCAGTCATGATATGATAAACATACCATGAAATGTCTGTTAGAATACCAGGTTATGACCAGTTTTTCTATGCCCTGAAACTTTTAGGAAAAAAAAAAGTTGATTGGCAGGTAAGGTTTGAAGGGAGGCTTTTGACTTCTACAAAATTGGGGATAAAAAGCCAGTACCACTGTTGTTTATACCCAGTGATATTAGGAAGAAATAGTCCCTTAGCAGACTTGGCTAGTCTACTGCTATCCCTAAGTTACATATGGGCTGCTGTCTTAGAAGAAATGGACTATTTCTTCCCCTTTCACCTTTTTGTTCCTAATGAGAAATTCTAATTTGGTATCTGAAATTACTATACAGCTAGTGAGAGGCCATTAGTGTTCTTCAGTTTGGTCTCAGTGCTCTTGGATATGTTACTACTGTTAACTTCCCTTTTTTGTATAGTCATCAGGATTATGATAGATAGAATACATTGTTGTCTTGGACTGTCTTGAGTATATATTGTTTTTCAGAGAGAGCAAGAGATACGGATGGGCCAAATGGCTATGGGAGGTAAGGACTTAAGAGTTAAATAGTTCAGATTGCCTTTTAGGGAAAAAAAGACAAAATTGGGGGGAAAAAGTCAGCAGGCATGGCAGTAACAGAACCACATGCCTGATTTGTGGTGGGGGGCGGTGTTTCTGGTCTCCAGTGAACTGTGTAGTTTCTACCTAGTCCAGATTTGAATGGTTTGACATTTTCAGGAACATCCATATGTTTTGGCCAGGGTTGGGGGGTATTGACACGTTAGTCAGTAGATCCTCTTGAATCACTTTTTTGGTAGGGGAAGAGACTGGCAATCTGTTTCTCGTATACTGATCATACTGCTATGCTTTAGGTGCTATGGGCATAAACAATAGAGGTGCCATGCCCCCTGCTCCTGTGCCAGCTGGTACCCCAGCTCCTCCAGGACCTGCCACTATGATGCCAGATGGAACCTTGGGATTGGTAATAAACTGCAGGGCCCCATAGTGATTGTATGTAGAAGGATCTTCCCAACTCCTGGGTGTACTCTGTGTGTATGTGTGCACGCGCGTGCATGCATGTGAAGGGCAGAAGTCAACTGCTGGTGTCATTTTGAGGGAGCCATCATCTTGTTTTGAGACCTGGGTTTCTAGCTTGAGAAAATTCAGTATCAAAATCATACTTTTACCTTTGATTTAAGCAACAGACTCTGTCTGACTGCCAGATTGATTGACTACTGTTTTTTCAAAGGAAGTCATGGAAACTTAGACATTATCACACAAAACAGATATGAATCCATAGACTTCATGGCTCATGTGGTCTAGAGGTTCTGGTTCTAATGACAAAATGGAATGTGCCCAAACAGGATACACTTAAGGTTGGAGAATTGATAGCCTGCTCTTCCTAGCTGAAAGGACTCAGATACAACCTATCTAACCTAGGAATTTAGTATGTGACACTTAGAATTAAATGGATAAAAAGCTAAAGGTAAAATGACTGGATGGACCTTGAGTGGAACAGCCTTCCTTTTGGGTTATCCACTAGAGCTCTAAACAGACTTGAATAATTGATTAGAAATAGCTTTCAGTGCAAGACCATCGAAGGGTGGGAAGCTGAGGACAAGGTTCTGTTGTAACATTGCTCTCTTTCTGTCTTTTTTTAAGACCCCACCAACAACTGAACGTTTTGGCCAGGCTGCTACAATGGAAGGAATTGGAGCAATTGGTGGAACTCCTCCTGCATTCAACCGTGCAGCTCCTGGAGCTGAATTTGCTCCAAACAAACGCCGCCGCTACTAATAAAGTTGCAGTGTCTAGTTTCCCACAACCCTTAAAAAGGACCCTTTTTGGACTAGCCAGAATTCTACCCTGGAAATGTATTAGGGATTCCTCCCGATAGTTAGGTCTTCCCTGCCTGTACTACTCTAAGGGAGTATGCTTGGAGGCAGAGGGCAAGGGAGGGGTGGTATTTAACAAATCAAATTCTGTGATATGTTGCTTTCAAGTCTGTGTGGTGCATTCCTAAAGTATCACGTGATTTTTGAGGATTTGGGGAATCGGCAAAATGGACTCCCAGTGCCCTATTAATCTTGATCATTCCGGTTTGTTTGTTTGCCCCCCCCCCATTGTGTTTTGGTTGCTTTCTCATCCTTATTCCTCTCAACCCTAGAGACACTGCCATATACCACATAAACCAAACATCCCCCAATGACCTAGTCCCCCATTCCTCCATTTGCTCCCAGGCGAGAATTCAGACATGTCCACAGAGGTTACAGCATATGTACGGTTCTGTTCTATCTCATATATTACCCCTTAATGTCCTAAGGAAGACATTTTCTCTTAGAGATTTTCAGTTTAGTATATCTAAAAAAAAATCTTGTGTTAACTTGCCTCCATCTTTTTCTTGGTTAAGAACCACCTAAGAATGAATTTTTGTGTCTTGATGTTGCTGTTCACAGCTTTTCTTAATAGGCCCAGTACAATCTTGGGAACAGGGTTGCTGTATGCTAAAGGTCTGACAGTAGCTCTTAGCCTTGCCTATCTTAGGTAGTTACGCCGTGCTTTTTTTTTTTAATGGTGTACCATGTTTGATTTGTTCCTGATACCTTAAATTTGGAATTTTTTTCTGAGAAATGGAGCAGTAATGCAGCATCAACTTATTAAAATACATTTTAAGCCTTTTAATTTTCTGTGCTATTTTTGAAGGGAAATGGAGGGTCGGGGAATTCTGGCTTGGGAGATGAACATAATCCTTTGACCTTTTTATTAAAATGTTACCTTAAAAAATACCTAGGCAAACGGGGAGGAGGTGTATAAGATGCAAGGCTCAGGGGTTTGCAAGGATAAGTGCTGTTGATACTACTACCTGGAAGTAATGACAATTGCAGGGCAGCTACTCTGTAATGAAGAAAATGGAGGAGTTTGGAAGAGGGTGGTCTCAATTGGTGTTAGTTTCTGAACAGCTGCTGGTATGTCAGAGGCTTGGAATTGGCAATATCTAAAACTGTCTCAGCCCTAGTTAGCTGACCTCACCCAAGTTCCAAAGGCTCTTCTGCCTGATCCTTTTTTCCTGGGCCTCCGAGCTAAAATGTGTTGGGAGCTCTTTCCTATTGGCTGAGAAGACCCACTAAAGTTCACTTGCCCATGTTAGGAGGTGTACGCCTCCTGAACTAAAGATAGAAGCAGCTGGCACTTCCACACAGCTAAAAGCCTCTAGACTAAGAGGTATTCCCCACTCGGCAGCAAGACTCCTTGAAATACCCTTTGAGTGAGTTAGGCCAACGCCTTCATGTCTCTGCTCTGCTATAACAAAGGCTGTGGGCTACATTTTGACCCCAATACCAACCTTCCTGGTGAGTAAATACTTCTGACCTGGCCAGGGACTCTGGGTGAGTGTTAGGGGGTGTTCAGCTATATTGGCTATCTGTTAACAGAAAAAAAAAATGGCTTAATTGGTCTGGGTGATTGGCAGCCTTTGTTGATTTACTCTATCACATTCTGTGAGAAGAAACCACAAACATGAACCTGGAGAGGTCAGAATACTATTTGGTACAGTACTCTTTTCTTCCTTGATCTTTCTGCTGGTATCTACAGATTCCTGTTGCTATCACCCTGGGGTCCCAATCTTCCATGATGCACTCAAGGTGAGGAGTAGGTGATGGGGCATAGCAAGAGCATTTCCCCAAGATAAACCCAGAAATGTAAGCTGATCTGGGTCTCTTCTCATCAGGGTTGGTCCTGCTGCCGAAAACGAACTGTAGATTTCTCTGAGTTCTTAAACATCAAGGTAAATCCTTTACTTCCTTGGATTCTACTCCCCATAGAAGAATTCTGCTCTAATCATCTCCTTATCTGCACTAGGGCTGTACTATGGGATCACACTGTGCTGAGAAGCTTCCTGAGGTCCCTCAACCTGAGGGCCCAGCCACAAGTTCACTTCAGGATCAAAAACCTCTGAATACAATTCCAAAGTCAGCAGAGACCTTGCTCCGAGAAAGGCCTAAGTAAAGAGGAGGAGGTCCCTGGGTTTCCTTCTATTTTCCATGAAGCTTCCTAGGAATTAATGGATCATTGGGGCTTGGGAACTAGGGGTTAGAGATGGGAGAAGGGTCATGTGTCTGGTGTGTGTTCTGCCTTAGGGGGAATTTGTGTAGGAAATGCCCTTTTCTGTAAGGCAGTGTGAGGGTGATGGAATAGATACCTTTATTGTAGGGAATAGATAGCCCATAATATATATGTCAGTTATCACATCCTTTGTATTTTTGTTTTGTTGAGGCCATCACTCTAGCCCAAACTTCTTGAACTGTTGATCCTTATGCCTTTGCTTTCTGAATACTGGGATTACAGGTGTGCAGCACCATCCCCAGCTGAGAATGAAATGATTTTTGTGTATGTGTGTGGTTCATTTTTATTTTATTTTTGGGGTTTTTTTTGAGACAGGATCTCGCTGTAGCCCCAACTGGCCTAAAACTCACTATGTAGTCAAGGTTTCCTCAATCTTACAGAGCTTTGTCTGCCTCTGCCTTCCAAGTGCTGGGATTAAAGTTGTGTGCTGGCACACCTGGATCATTTTCAGTTTTTGATTTTTTTTTTTTTTTTTAGTTAGCATAGAAAATAATGGGCTTCATTATAACATTTTCATACATCCTACCCTCATCCCCACACTACATATTCCTATTGATTTTGTTTCTGGAAGAGCTTTTTTCTTTTTCTTTC